CCATGAATTGACTGCCCTAGATCAAATTCTTGTTTGTGGTCTTAACAATTGCAATCAGGAAATGTTCATATGGGATAAGTGTAGTCTCTTAGACTCAAAAAGCTGTGAGCAATCCAGTTGCTATTAGAAGCCGTAGCAGGAAGATGGCTGATGTTTGTAGTGCATTAGGGATAACGATACCTAATCTAGGGGATTGTCGTAAGAGGACTCAGTGTAATTGGTTTGCACTTGCTACAAGGTAGACATTCAGGCACTTGTAATAGTGGAGGTAGCTTTAGTCACAGGAATTATAGGTGGTTGCTATTCTTTACTGGAGTCTTGGAGTCCATGGGAGATACCTTGAAGGTCACCACCAATGCTTTTTATGACACTAGTGGTAAAACAAATATTCACACTGCCTGACACCTAGTCTTTGTACTCATTAGTTACTTGACTTAATTCTGTTACTCGTCTTGTGAGTCCATTGGTTCTAGGGGTCATACCTCACTTACCTAAGCAACTTGGCCACCTCAGCACCTTGGTTAGTATCTAGTGCATGGTGATACCTTCCTGTTAGGTGAAGGAATGGAAGATACACAGACAGTGCCAGGTAAAGTCAAGCTCAACCTCCACCTCAGCTTCAAGGAGGGAGTCTTTGGGGATTCACTTGTATCCCTGGAGAATTGCTCAACAGTATCTAGACAATTCCTGTTGGAATCAAGGAGGCAAGCAATTTAATACAACCACCTCATTTTATGGGTAGGGATGCTGAGGCCCAGAGAGTAAAGAAACATTTATCTCTGGGTGTTGAATTATATTATTAATCATCCAGTGTCTTAATATTTACATGGAGCTGGCAGTATAGTTGCAGGGGACCAAAACTTGCAAATTTGTCTTTCTCTTTTATTCACAACTAGAGAGGTCTGCAAAAAGCTGCAACACACTTACTCACCAATGGTCCCGCCGGCACTACCTATTAGAATTTTTAAATGTATTTTACATATGCATATATATTGATGTTTTGGCTTGTGTATTTTTACTTAAATGAGGTCATGTTTTATACACACACACACACACATAAACATACTTCTGTAATCTTCCTTTTTTTTCTAATAGCTTACATAATTGGCTCTCAGGCAGGAGAAACAGAGAACCTATTCACTGTTAACACTTCAGCCCTTACTTAGCATGGTGTCTGGTGTCTGGGTGCTCCATAAATATTTTGTTGAATGAATGACAAATATCTTGTTATTTTTATTAAAGTTATAAATGATTTACTTAAAAAATAATTCAGAATGTAAAGGTTATTCATAGTATAATATCCTTCCTTGCTTATATTCCATTGTGATTTCTTAGGATGAGAGACAAAGGAACAATTTCCTTTTGTCCCTAGAGTAGTGTGCGAGGACATATGTCTTGCAGGTGTGAACCACCTGCTAAGTAGGTTGAGGTGGAAGACAGGTTGGCAACTATTCATTCTTGGGAATACATGGATTTTCATAGTGTTTGGTAAGCTCTTTGTTGAAGCATGAGTGAATACAGGTAGTCCTCTTCATTTGGTAGTTTGCATTTCATGGTTTGAGAACGTGGATTGTACTGGTCCAGTGCCCACGGCATTGCAATGTGTAGATACACTGCTCTTAAATGTATCTCTCGTTAATATTTTGTAGCTTGTACTTTTGCTTAGGGCTGTTCTCCAT